AGAAAAAAGAAAGAAAAAAGAAAGAAAAAAGAAAGAAAAAAGAAAGAAAAAAGAAAGAAAAAAGAAAGAAAAAAGAAAGAAAAAAGAAAGAAAAAAGAAAGAAAGATAGCTAAGACATGTAAGCTAAACATGTAGAAATCTAAATACATGGTCCTGTGGCAGCATCTCATAGGTTTCTTGGAAATAAATTAGAGTTCCAGAATGAGCTGTATTCATGTAATAGTAGTGCAAGCAATTGAACAACAGCCACTAGTACAAAGAGCATAATACCTATAGAACTTAGATCTGGGTTCAGTCCTTATTAAGCTTTTGATATCCTAGTATGTTGAAAAGGTCATGTATGTATTTTACTTACTGCTGGCCTGACAGAATTCTGCCTAACAGAATCAAGCAGCTGCTGAGGCTCTAGTTTTGCAGCAGGAAACATATGTATAGTTAACCTGCTCAATGAATCTCCCTTTTAAATTTCCCCAGTTTAAAATAGAGGTCACAGCTGTCTACCTTATTACTTTGTGAGGCTGTAAATATGCAGAATCTGTGTCCTGATTTTCATAAGTAGCTGAAATGTGTGATGACTGAGGGTGGGAAAATCTAGATTCTATTTCCATGCTTGAAACTATTTGGATATGAAAAACTGTTAGAGGAAAATATCTGATTCTCTATTTGTGCAATTACTTACCACTAAGTATTTTAAAGTCTTTCTGTACATGTATCTTTCAGGGAAGTCACTGCAACTCCTCCTAAAGATGGACAAAAAAACACAAAGTGGTAAAAAATGAGATATCTGTACTATATTAATGTTGGTTTTATTTCTCTAAAGGCAAGCTGAGATGGGAAAGCCTATAAAAATTGGTGTTATCACTCTTTCTAGACTCAAACTCAGACAGTGAAGGTCAAAGGCTATCCTGGCTGGAAATTATGGGAGTCCCAACAGATCTGGAGGGCAAGAGTTTGAGGAAGGCTTTTTCCAACTTTTACTGTGCTTTTGCAGTTTTAAGAACACAAATCTGTTTTATTCCCAAAAAAATAATTCATTTCAATTAATATGTCTGTTTGGAGAATACACCCTGATGAAGCTGTATTGTTCAGAGAACAAAACTGTTGTGTTGAGAAGCAAAGTAATTTACCTAAGGTGGTGGATTCTGATTAAAATGGATGCTTTGTCTATAGCATAGAACATTTCCATTTGTACTACTAGGTGTGTTTCCCCAGCAGGGCCATCCATGAAAAGGAGGAGAACAAACCTTTGCATATCTAGCCAGGCATAGTGCCCTACTTGTTACTATCATCAAGAGAGAGGAAACACATAGGCCGCATAATCTTCCATCTTCATGCATGTCCTTGTAACTTCTTCTATAGCCCACCTATGATGGGGTTAAAGATCTACAGTAGGGAGAAAATTTTATTCCCACAGCTTTCCTATATCACTTTAGAAGACCAGATTTTTGAACCAGAAAACTTAGTGCAACCACATAAAAGAGACTTGGCAAATCCACACGTTCTTCTTGGCCCATCACTGGCATGAGCCATTCCTGAGAGCAAGAACAGGTAATTCTCACCTTCCTCCCACTCCTAGCCCATTGTAAATGCATCTCACATCTGTGTTTTCCAACAATTCAAAACTGTTTTCTAACTTGAGCCATCTTAAACCCTTCACACTGGATGGTCTCCAGCACTTTGTTCTGTTTCAATAAGAACTCCAACTGTGATTGGATAGAATGCCTGGACATCTTTCTCCTCCAATGACTGGTCATTGCCCAATGCAGCCATTTCATTTCTAAGTGGTTATTTTATCTGCTAGTCAATTACTGTTTTTTTAAAAATCCAGTGATGGCCTGTTAAGTGAATGAATTATCTTTAACTTTAAAAAAAATGATCCATTCCATGCTTACATCTCCAATAGGCATTGTTGAAATTCTGCCCTGGGATGAGTGAAGCACTTTTTCCTTACTTTTCCATCCAATGCCCTTGCTCACCCCATTGCAAAGTTTACTCTCTCTTTCCTTTATTATTTTTAAAACATTTTTAAAGTTGTAAGATAGGAACATTAGTACTTTATTTCTATGAAGCTGAACTGAAATTTCTTCCTTGTTATGTTTTCATGGACCTACAGAGCATTGAAGGAATGAAATATGTTCTATACTGTGTTGGTTATTGTAGCGTTGGATCTATGATGGTGCCATGGAAGGAAGGAGGAGAAAGTATTAGTATCAAAGGAGATAATAAGGAAGGTGCATGTCTGTATGAAAGGATCCATGTGTGCAAACATTTGAAAATTAAAGGATAGGCTCAGGATTAGATCTTGCAGTGGCTGATATCCAGACTAAATCCCATTGCCATCCCACTGTAGCCCAGACTGGAACTTCTGAACAGACAAGAGCAGAATGGGAGAAAAGTAGGTTACATTGCAATATAAAATGGCCCTCTGATGTTCAATTCCCCAAACCGAGGAAGGGGCAGGAGGAAAATAATAGGGAAGTGCATGAGAAAGTAATCAACAGAGATACTTTATTTTCTCCCCTGAGGAAGAAAATCTCACTAGAATTTGAGGTCAAAAGCTCTATTGATGAAAGTTGAAATACTTTTGATTGGCATTCTCCACTTTTTTTCTCTCTACCTGGTGCAACACATTTCGAATCCCAAGAAATCAGACCAATATTGCTGGGTTCCGAATGGCTTGATTATGTTATATGTCTCACTTCAAGAAAGGGCAGATCAGAGAAGGAACTTCCAAACAACTCAGGTTTTCCATTGCTTATTATATAATTTAAACAAAACAGAACTTGAGTGGGCTGGCCTGACTATCAGAATGTGCATGTTGATCAGAAATGAGCATGTTTACTTCTTTGTAAAAGTTCAGCACTTGCAAAAGCAACAACAACAGCCAATCAGCCTGTTATCCATCCTCACTACTCAAGAGCACAGAGATGGGCTGAGCAAATACCCCTACAATTTCTGGGCAAGACATTCCCACAACCATGCACTGTGGTACTCACTGACTGAAAATGGAAATTACATGTTTTAGAGAAAAAACACAATATCAATGTCAGCTGCATTAGTTTTAATACTGCAACCGTACATCTATCTGGAAAGATCCACATCTGTGGGAAATTGTCTAATAAAATATGTGTTAAAATAGTAATCATCCTTCACTGGTAGTCTGGGAAAACATCATTAAACAGAAATGTGCAATAACAATGTTTCTCTGCTGCACACTGCTGGTTCCCATTTAAATGATTGTCCACTAGGATTCCAAGATCCCTCTCACAATTACTACTATTGAGCAAGGTACCACATATACTGTACCTGTGCATTTTTTTGAGAGCAAATGTTTTTAAGTTATCATTTACTACATATGTGTATCAGGTATGTGGGTGGAAAGTGTAGAAATTCCCCTTCAACAAGTATTATGTTTAAATCTTTGATCTCCTCCAGACTTCAAAATGAGCATAAAAACAAACCTAGCTAACACTGATGAATGATTTAGTTTAGTAGGTTAGTTAAGTCCTTTATT